AGATAGATAGATAGATAGATAGAAAAAGCGGCCAGGTAGACAGGCAGACAGCCATTTTCTATCTCTCTACCAAATAGTTTCAAATACTGTTTACAAAAAATTGAAGCAGTGCAGTTGAGGGAGCCACATAAAGGCTTTTTAGCAGCCACAGATAGAATACATGGCTGTTTATTTATTAACATTAGCAATGGGAATGAATCGCCATTTTGGGAATGGCGTGATCCATCAGAGTTGATGAAGCATGAATCTTATCCCTATGAACCAATGAAACATGAATTTATTCGTTGGTTCATGGAAGGGTTGTCTAAAAAAAAAAAAAAGCTGACCCCTCCACCCCCCCAGCCTGCCCCCTTCCCACTACCTCATCACCTCCCTACCTTGGCTGCCGCAGTCTGCACCGCTGCCGCCGCCGCCACCACCATCCACAGAAGCCTGTGCCCAGTGGCCTCCTCAGTCACCATCCAGCTCCGCTTTCCAGATGTTTGTCATGTTTCTAGTTCTTTACCAGATGAGATATAAACGTGTTATACAAATATGGAGGAAATTCCTTGCATTTTACATGTCTGTCACAGCCAGTGCCATGTTGCTTCCCTGGATTGGTAGAAAAATGCTTTAGCTAATTCTGAATTCTAATTCTACTGGAGCCATTTCAGTTTTAAAATTATTAAAACAAAAGTAGTGCTTTTTAGCATGTGTGGGCAGATGCCCTATGGAAGGCAGTCACTGTAGAATAATCAGACATCCCCCACAATCCTAGGAGTATCAGTGTCAAGGCTGATGTGTTGGTAGTTCTTTAGGACCAGGAAGAAGTTCTGCAAATCTTTTCCCTCCCAAACTATGTAGGTAGTTTAAGATGGGACTGTTTGGATTGTAGAAGAATGAGACCAGTACAGTATCAGTTGTGTCAGTTGTTCTTCCCTGATTTTCCCATGTCAGTCCAGGAGCCATTCCTAGACTGAGGTTGTCCACAAGTGTTAGTTATAATGGGCAGTTGCCAAACCCATTATGCAGTGAATGAGGAGCACTCCATGCAGTGCAGAGTTGCCGCTGTGGTTGTGCTTTGCCTGCCTGCTCGGAGGAGACGAGTGTGGGCAAAGAGCGTCAAGGCCGGAGGAAGGGGGCTTGGAGAAGCCTTCATCTTGCCTGCCTCCCCCGAGATTGGCCTCGGCCCTTTGCCATGCCGGGTAGTGTGAAAGGTAAGAGATTTGGTGAGTTCCTTTGGGACACCTGAGGAGGGTGTCAATCAGCCCATTTCCCTGATTGGTAGAACAAGGAGTATATGAAGAGGAATGGGAGCTAAAGGAATCTCCCAAGCAGTAGTGCACCTAGGGTCATGAGGCTCGGTGACTGAAGCAGTGCGAGGATTCCTGCAGATGGGCAGCTGAAGATGTGCTAGTCAGAGGCAGCGCGCTTCAGCGATAGGCACTCACCCTTAGTGGCCTGATCCAGTTGTAAACGGTACACTGGAATCAGATGATAATTTTGCACTACAGTGAGCCCCCTTGGAAAAGGAAATCAATGTTTTAGTAGTTAATAAAGTTGTGGCCCTAGTTTATCCAACACCTGTGTCTCATCTCTTTATTCTGGGCTGGACAGGCAAATGGTACTAGAAAGAAGAACCTAAAATGCCCTAGTAATTTTTTAAGCATTTAGGAGAGACTGGGCTTCTTTTGCATAAGTTTGTTGCAGATGAGGAAGCATTACATAGCCCAGTTTAATATTAACAGAAGGGAAACAAATATTCATCAAATGGAAAAAGAAACATGACTAAAAAGTAATGCTGTGAAACAAACTTAGAGGTGATAGGAGTCAGCAAATTAGATGAGAGACGTGATCCTGCACCCATTGAGGTGAACTGACAAACACTGCAGGCTCAGCCCATGTATTTGAAATGTGATACAGCTGCAAATGTGCTAATGCTATTTTAGGCTATGTATGTAAAAGCAGGACGTCATGGAGAAGCAAGGTGATAGTCCCTTCTTTGCCTATGTCTGTTGGCGTTGCCTTGGGTGTTGGGTGTTGCAGAAAAGCTGAAGGGGATTCAGATAGAACAGTTATGGCAGGAATGACATGATATTCTGAAAGATGGCTCTGGATAAATGATCTTGCAATTTCTCTTGCCTTGCACATATTACTGTGACAGTTGCTTAATATGTTGGAAACTTTTAATTTAAAAGCACTGGAAAGATGACACACAGCAGGTCGGTTTTAGGGTTGCCCTTATTGAACTACGTACTTTGATGGGTTCTCATGCCAGGACCACACATTTAATATTCATGGACTCACTTTTTCAAATGATGTCCTGAAAATACACAGATAGTGGTATTAGGTTAGAATTGGTCATTGAATTGCCTTTCTAGGTGGAAGTATGAGCAGAATCCTCAGTTCCTCTCTGGTTATTCTCACACCTTCAGCTTCAGAATACATCAAAGGCTTCCAAAGCAAAGCAGAAATATGCTGTTTATATACCACACCATAGTGCTTAAAACACTCTCTGGGCCGTTTACAATTTAATTGTGCAGGCTGCACATTGCCCTCTCCCAGCAACCTGAGTACTCAATTTCTTGACCTCAGAAGGATGGCAGGCTGAGTCAGCTTTGAGCAGGCTATCTGATCTCATTGAGCTTGAACTCAGATCATGAGCAGAGGCTTGACTGCAGTACTGTAGTTTAATCACAGTGCCACAAACATCATAGTGTATTTATTGACAGAGATCAGTAAACAATGGAATTTAAAATATGTACCTGTGAATATTAGTAGGAAAAAAACTTTTAATAAGTTTTAGGAGGGGAAAAAACCACCCAAATAAAATCTATGATAGTAATCAAGGCCCACATCAGAGGTGGGTAATTGTAGCCCTCTGAACATTTTTTTCCTTTCCTTTTTTCCTGCAACTATCAGCGGTCTTAGCCACTATAGCAAATAGTCACGGATTGTGAGACTCAATCCAAAAACAACTAGCTGGCCATAGTCGCCCACATGTGGTTTATACCTATTGTCATGCTGGTAGCCAGTGACAAGTGCTAGTGACTGTCTGTCTTCTGTTCTCCCTAATGAAACATTCATACTGTCCGAAAGAAAGAAAGAAAGAAAGAAAGAAAGAAAGAAAGAAAGAAAGAAAGAAAGAAGCTCCAGGGGCAGGTTTGGGGCATGCACAGTGGGACAGCAGTGAGAATGGAGGAATAATATTGATTGGCTGCCTGAAGGGAGTATTTGAATGGATTGTTGTACCTTGCTGCTGCTTTAAATGTATTTTTGGTGTTGTGTTTGTTTCCATTTTTTTAGTATGGCATTTGTTTAATCATTTTTAGAATGTACTGTATATATTTACTTTTTTAAGCTTTAAATAATGTTTTTTAATTATCTAAGCCACTTTAAAAAGGAACGTGGTGGCACTGCGGGTTAAACCGCAGAAGCCTCTGTGCTGCAAGGTCGGAAGACCAGCAGTCATAAGATCGAATCCACGCAACGGAGTGAGCTCCCATCGCTTGTCCCAGCTCCTGCCAACCTAGCAGTTTGAAAGCATGCAAATGCGAGTAGATAAATAGGTACCACCACGATGCAAAGATAACGGTGTTCCATGTCCAGTCGCGCTGGCCACGTGACTGTGGAAACTGTCTTCGGACAAATGCTGGCTCTATGGCTTGGAAATGGGGATGAGCACTGCCCCCTAGAGTCGGACATGACTGGACTAAATGTCAAGGGGAACCTTTACCTTTACCTTTGCCACTGTATGTCCTTTTTAAGGAGAAAGCTGGGGGTGGGTGGGGGTTAAAATATTTTAAATATTTACTTGCTTCATCAGAATTACTTATCTTTTCTTTCCTAAGAATAAAATAAAATACAAAGGTAAATAATCATTTCTAAAACAAAAGCAAAAATAACTTTGAAGCAGATGCAACTAGTATGCTACATGGGACTCTGACTTCCTCCTTTTTTTAAATGTTATTAAAATTTCAGGTCCTGATTATATCAAGCAACGATTTCAAGAGGGTGCAGAAGTTAAGGAAAACACTGAGGAAAAGCTTCAAGAAGAACCACCTACACCAAAAGAGTCTCCTCATTTTTATCGAAAAGGCACTACACCACCTGGAACACCAGAAGAGAGCGTGAGGCACAGTCCACTCCCCCCTGACAAGCCGTCCCCTGCAAAAAAAGGCAAAAAGCAAAACTCCACCTCAGAGATAAGACTTATTCAAGAAAAAAAGAATTTAACCAGTGAAAGTATAACACCACCAATCAGCAAGCCTCTTTATTCAAAAGTACCTGTGAAGGAAGAGGTGATTGTCAAGCATCAACCAAAGCCGTCACCCCATAACAACCCAAGCAGTGGTGAGAATGGAGAGTTGCATGATCATTACCATGGCTATTATGTGAAAATGAATCCATCAGTGTATCCGCTTGAGATTGAGGAAGACGAGGACCATACCAACCCATCATCTTCAGCACTTGCACTAGTAGTATCCGGCCAGAAGCCAACCCCAACCAGATCTGGGCTTCTGTTAGATGCCAAAGAATCATTAAAGAAATCTGAATCTGCTGCACCAAAGAATCCTACTAATAACTTCTATTCAGTGGAAACAGAATTCAGTGTGGTAGGTACAGTAAGCTGAGCATATTTTGTTTTGCCTGCGTATTTTATATTTTATATTTGCATAAGTTTGTATCTGCATCAGAGGTTTGCTGTCTGACATAAGCTCTTTAGATATAGATGGCAGGCAGGCAGTAAAACATTAGTAGACCCCTTTCTGACCATCTGTTCTTTAGGATTTGACTGTGCAATCATATGCAAATAATAAAATCCTTATATGACCCTTATATGGGTCTACTAGTGCATCCTTCTAAGCATGTACTGTACTATGCAAGTGACATTAACCAGAGAGCTGTAATTGACATCACTCTCTGGTGGTCGTTATTTGCCAACAAACACAAGATTTGCAGTATGTAATATGAGGAAAGGCATTTATTTCAGGATAAGGGAAAGAAGAATCCAAAGACTATAATCTTGTTAGAGATTGTTATCTCTTTTAATTGCTCTGCAACCTTACATTAACCTGTTAAATGAATACAGATGGTTAAAATGGAAGGTAACAAACAAAAAACTACAGTGACACCTTAAAAAGTGAAATATTTAAGGTACCAGAGAACTATTGTTAGGTATCTAGCTGCAAAACCAGAGATTGGGAGTTTGATTCTCCATTGTGCTTCCTGAGGGAAGAGCCAGCCTCTGTAGCCTTGGGTAAGGTGCACAATTCCGGGGTTCCCCCAGAAAACGGGAGAAGTAATTAATTTTAAGAACTGTCTATCTAGGAACTCCTGGGAAGGATTGCATTAGTCAGAAAAGAGTTGACAGCACATAATTATTGTTACTATATGAACATCACTCAAGTGACTCTTTCTATAAATATAATGTGCAGCAGACACATTGGCCAGAATCACGTTGCTTAATGTACTAAGTTATACTGGAGTAGGCCCACCGATCAACCCTGAGTGCTCAACTGGAAGGACAGATCCTGAAGCTGAGGCTCTAATACTTTGGCCATCTCATGAGAAGAGAAGACTCCCTGGAAAAGACCCTGTTGTTGGGAAAGTGTGAGGGCAAGAGGAGAAGGGGACGACAGAGGATGAGATGGTTGGACAGTGTCATCAAAGCTACCAACATGAATTTGACCAAACTCCGGGAGGCAGTGGAGGACAGGAGGGCCTGGCATGCTCTGGTCCATGGGGTCACGAAGAGTCGGACACGACTTAACAATTAAACAACAACAACAAAGGCCCACTGAATCAGTGTGTATTTAGTGAGTCAGTTCCTCTGTAAGTTCCATTGATTCAAATGGGCCTTTTGTAACTGAAATTTACTGTGCTAAAGTGACAGTTAGAGTGGACCATTTGAATCAGTGGAATTTATTGAGGAGTTGACTCACTAAATCACCATTGGTTTAGTGGGTGTACTGCAGTGTGATTTACTATGTTAAGCTGCAAGATTTTGGCCACTATAATTGTACATATGCTATTTTACTAAACAAAAGTAATACCAGTTTAATGTATTCGCGAAGGCTTTCACAGCCGGGATCTAATGGTTGTTGTGGGTTTTTCGGGCTCTTTGGCCGTGTTCTAAAGGTTGTTCTTCCTAACGTTTCGCCAGTCTCTGTTGCAGGAATCAGAACTCTACCTGTGCTCTGGCAGACAGAGTTCTCACTCCTGTCCTCTGAAGAGGCCGGCCACAGAGACTGGTGAAACAGTAGGAAGAACAACCTTCAGAACATGGCCAAAGAACCCGAAAAACCCACAACAACCAATATCAGTTTAAATAATATAATTGTTCATTGGTCCTTGGTTACTGATTTAACAAAAGAATCATGACAATTCCTTTTCTCTTTGGAGCACTATACTGTAATTACATTTGCCTTGGTAACACCAGCACAACTGAGGGTGATGAATAAACATTCAAATCAGACAATAGAGTATAAGCCTTTTGTTACACAGTTCTCAAATTTTATTTTGTAGTAGACAATGGGTGTTTTTTGCTTTTCTAAGTTAAAAGATGAAGTATGCTACAAATGTAATTGTTTTTCTCACTTTTTACTTATTTCAAAGCAAGACAGAAGCTTTCAGTGTCAGAATTTCTGGGAGAATACCTCCTGTTATATTATTTTCAGTAGCAGAAGTGCTTCCAAGTGGGTTCATGTCCTTGGAGTCCAGATGAAACAGAGGTTTCGTATAATATTGCTTGAAGATTTCCCTCTTCATCTTCAGCATTATTTCACCTATAAGGGGGAAATTACCATTCTACCTCTACTCCTGGCCTTTTAAGTGAAAGAGAACACCCAATTAGCCATTACTCAGAAATGGGAAACCAAAAGATATGGAGATATAATTTAATGAGATTTAATAGATCAGTCTGAAGTGCCAGAACACATTTTATACTGAATTGTACTAGATGTAGATTATATGATGCCCACAATTACGGTAGCCCAAATGTGAAAATTGAATTTGAAAGATCTTATATGCATTATTAAAAATGGTGCAGTATGTTTAATATTTTTAATATCTGTAATACAAAGCTGTTTGATGCAAGAATTAATGGTCATTTATCATCTGATATAAAACTAGATTAAAAAGTCACTGGGACTGGGATGTAAGAAGTTGCCTTGCATCAAGTCTGTTTTAGCTGACCTGATGGCTGACTTCCATTTCAGGGCAGTTTTCAGGGGCTCTGTTCCAGTGGTGAGCAAAGACAAGAGAAAAAATATTGGACAAATAAGTACTAAATTGTACGTGTTTAATTTGAAACCTCTTCTGCCAATTGATGAGCCTTAGGAGGCGAATTTCAGGAGGAGAAATACATTTTCTAAATGTAAAAAAATCCATACAAAAGTTCAGAAGCCACTGAATAGTGATGTTATATGGTTGGGGGAGAGACTTCAGGGTAACAGCATAGGGCTGTAATTTTTTTAATATACATTTTATATATGTGTGCACATCTCTTCGTGAGATTGATGGATCTCCACTCTATTTGGCTAAATCTAGTGCCTTTTATAGTCATAGTTTTCGGTGTTAGTCTGTGCAAACATTATATACTTTTTCTCTTTAGTATGCCTGAAACTTGCTGTTATATATCTTATGGAGCGAAAAATACGGTACTTTTTCTCTTTAGTATGCCTGAAACCTGCTGTTATATAAGGACAATTCCGGGCATGCATAAAGCTCTTCTGTTACAGCTTCTTTGTAACACCTGTTCAAGTCAGTCATGGAAGGCAGAGACTAATTTTGCCTTTATCTATTTTAAGCCACTGCAGAGCACTGAGTCCTTATTTTTGGTACTTCACCCTAAAGCATTTTGGAGTCACACTATTAATGTTTTAAAAGCCAGAATTAGAGTCACATTTTGAATTCCATGATAGAAGTCTCTGCAGTATGCTTGGTCATTCTTAGCACAATTAAGAGTCCCTAAGAATTATTTGGTAGGTCTTAAAGGATCTCATTCCATATCTCATTCTGTCTTGTAAGACTGAGAAGACAGCAAAGCATGTCTGAGCTACTTTCATTTGAGTTGAATTTGTTAACTTAATTCTATTATATAAACAACAGTGTGGGGATTATATTGTACGACAAAAATAACAGAATCACCACCTTTGATATTGCCTATATGAAACTGAGGCCATTCTCTTGGAGAACATCACAGAGATACTGCAGAGATGACTTTTCCATACTTTCTCGTCCCCAACTGAGGCCACAATGTTTAGCGTTATTCATAGAGTAATTCTGTTGTTGCTGCTGCTGTTTTTGAGGAAAGTTTCTGTGCTAGGGTGCAAACCACTTTCTAGAAGAGTATTGAAGCATTTTGTGTCATGTACTATCCCTTGCCATTTTCTCCACCAACCAAAGACCTCCTCCAAATTTGGGATTTGAGGGTACCCAGTGGGAAGAGGAAGTCATCTCCTTCCTGGTTCAGCTAATGGAAGCAGTTCCACTAGCAGAACAATCCCACAGGATCCCACACAATGTATTACTTTAGATACATCATTGCAGTGTGGTCATTGCCAATCATTCATACATGTTTAGTGTCTGTGCTCCAGTTCCTTAATGGGATGTAGAATATAAGCCAGTTCACTTACCTGAGAAGAAACTCTAGTCATAAACTCATGTCTTCCATCTGAGTGACAACAATATCCATCCTTTTGAGGGCAATACAGTCACATATTGTGTCTATTCATTTGCAGAACTGAAGATGTGGTAAGTATATTTCTTGGCTTTGCAAGGTTTAATGTTAGCAAAATAGAACATCCTGTAGTGTTGCTAAATATTAAGCTCATACCAGGCTAGCCTTTTATAATATTTCAGCTTGCTCTTTGGTTAGACCTCCTGCATCCCACTGCCATTCGAGTAAGGAGGAACACGTCCTTATGATCCAGATAAGGAAGTTAGGTCAGTAGCTAACCATATGTTCCCGAGAATTGATGTGTTCAGATATACCAATACTCTTCTGTTACCTTTAAAATAAAATCTCTCACATTTTAAAATCAAGTTGAAAGACTTTGAGACCTTTGTTTTGTTTTGATGTGTTTTGCTTGTACCCTGTTTATGAGCTAAATATAACCTGCAACTTCTTTCAGTTTCAGTGCATTCAGTAGAGTGGTGTCTAAACTATTTCATATCAAGGTTTCCATTTAAAATGTTTGTATTACAATAGAATAATCTCAGTATTAAAAGGTAAGGTTCAGCTGAGGGGAGATAAAAATATGGCTAACGTTTATGTACCATTGGAAATCTTAAAACTATTCTGTTTTTCATAGCATAACTGAATCTACAGGAGAAACAGCTCAGTCCACATAGTATTATCCTTCCCCATCCCCATCATTGCATATTAGAACTTAAATGTCTCTAGAAATGAAATCAAATATATAACATCTGTTGCTTTCAAAATAATTAATATTTTATATAATAATTAATATTTGAGTACAGTAAAACCCGTGAATAAGTGGTCTAGTTTGATATGATGCAATTTGGAATCAAGTTAAAATTTGCAACATATTTATTCATAGTCTTTATTTTTGTGAGTGTAATCAAAATTCCTTTTAATTCATTTTCAGGGTCCTAATTCAATCATGATTGTTCTGGTAATGCTGTTGAATATTGGTTTAGCCATTCTTTTTGTCCATTTTCTAACTTGATTGGAATTACAAAAGGTAAGAGTGGTCTTATATTTTACATTAAACATTGTATCCTATCCTGCATTCTCATTTTTAATCTTTCCCATTTAAAATGGCAAACTATTATTTGCAAACTTTAATGTTTTGTCACTTTAATTTTGGCTATGCCTGAATGTGATTCAACATTGTTACTTAATGATATAACTGTTTTGATCCTTCAGTGAAGTCATGACAACTAGTGGCGTAAGCCCACAATTCTCGGCAGTTGTGTCATCAGCCTTTTAAATGGCACGAGTCATGTTCAGACACAGGGAAGGAGGCATGGAATTAGGATGGGACACAAGAGAGATGAAACTTGGAAAACTCAGCCCAGGGGCTTTTGGGTCCTCTGAAAGCTGAAGCGAGCATCCATGTTGGGGGAAAAAAATACGTGCGCCTACACACACAAGCTTGCTGAAGCAACCCAAAGTGTGTTGGTTACTCCATCTGTTCCAGCAGAGAGTGTGACTAAACTGGAAATGTACGGAGCTGCACTTTTGTTGATGGAAGCTAACAGCTGCCTTACTATTTTGCCGTCTGATGTTTTTGGTGGGGGAGATGGGAAAACGACTGCCAGAGGAATGTGGTCAGAGGATTCTGTTGCTGTGGAAGCGATTCCAGTATTCACTCCTATCTCATTAGAAGAAATAGTTAGCAGCATCACTCACCAGTCTTATTCCATTACCTGCTGCTTTTAAAATCTCCTTGCGATTTTCTGGGAGATTGTGTTTCATTGCTTATGCATGGTTCTGTTCCTTTACTATTTATTTAAAACCTATGTGTACAGCCATAATATAATAATGTAGACCAGCCAGGAAAACTTCACACTACTCCTTCCACCCTGCATCAGAAAAACAAAATTAAAGCCTGTAGCATATGTGCAGTGTAGATATCTTTTCTTGGAAGGATCAATTTCTCCATACCACTACTACTACTTTTTTAAACAAAGCCGGTAATGTCATTTTTCTCTTAAGGGTTAGGCTGTATGCAATGATGTTTTAAACCATCACTTATATCTTCCTTGTGAAAGTGGCAAGAAGATTTGTTTTAAATACGCTAAGATTGGTTGGGCTATCTCAATGTACTGGTGGACGAACAAGGAAAAATATTTTGAGAAGAGTTGTGCCACTTTGGGTCTTATCTCAATATTACAATTTTTTTTATTGGCATTTAAAAGCCTTGCCTGTTTGAACAATGGAAACCGCTATTAAATTTATGGTAAATAATTATTTTTAAAGGTCAAGCTTCATGTTGAATACATTCAGGTAGAGCATTTAAGTCTGTTAACAATGATTGAGTATCAGCTGAATGCCTTTTAATGTTGTTGAAATGAGTCTGTAATCTTACCTCAGTTAGTAAAAACAAGCCTCAAACTTTTGTTTGGACTCTTTGTCTTAACTAGATTACCGTCCTGTGTTTTGGTGATGCAATCCATGTGTTTTTTTTCTTCTTCCTGGTGTTAATTTACTCTATTCCATATTATTCAAATGCATGCTTGTTTTACTTATAGGAAAACTGTAGACGGTGTGGTCATTTTGAAAGTCAGCATTTTAAATTAGAAATAAAAGAGTAAAGGGCTTAGGTTTTATTTTATTTTTACCTCTTAGAAGACAACACTCTCCAGGGTTTTGATCCTGTTTGTAAATTTATTATTAATATTATTATTACTATTATTATTATTATTTGCATGGTTAAATGAGAGGTTTTCTTATAACTATGTGGGCTACTGTACAAGACAGCCAATGGAGTGGACAAGGGTATGGAGTTATTTTTGTAGCCTGGAGCAACTCAATGCAGGGCAGTAACGCAGTGGCATTTTTTGCAGAAGTGGGTTGAGGATCCTGTGTTTTGACCAGTGTGGAATCAAGAAGAAAGCAGAAAGGCAGCAAATGAAAATTTAACACCTTATATTTGTTTGTTAAGGAAGGAGAATGTGTTTTACTTATAAATTTAGAAAAGTAATCAATTCAGAATCAGGTTTTTAAAGTATACTAAGCCATGGCATCCTGTATAAACACCTTTTCACAGTCCAACCCTGATAAGTTATTGATTAAACTAGTTTTATAACTGACATTTAAATAATACATGTGTATTTAAAAATCAAAAAATATGGCTTTTGAAAACATTTATAAATTTAAGCATGTTAGTTCCATTTATAATATAAATATGTATGATTTATAAGCTTTTTTAAAAATAAAGCTTCAATCAAGAATTGTTGGTATTTTTCTAAAATGTGCACAGCTGTATTTTACATAAAAGGCTATTTATAGTTGGTTGTATACTGTACACTACATTTTGGACAGCTCATAAGTCTGCCAATTGTACTTAATTATATGTCACTTTGTCTATTTAAAATTTCTTGCTGTGAACAAACTCTTTATCTATGAGCTTCTTTATTTATATTTCTGGAACTCAAAATAGATAATGTACAGTTTTCATAACTGTATTTGCTCTAATAAAAAGGAATTGGTTACTAATGTGTCAATGTGTTTTCTCTTCATATAAATAAAGCCATTGCACATTCCTCATTGCAAGAAAACCTGTGTAGGTCTTGTCCAACAAAGTAGTGAATTCAGTCATCGAAAGAAGACTAAACTGCTTTAAAAGCCTTCATTCTATAGCTTTATGCCTTCATTTTATAGCTTTATATAAAGTGATAAAACACATTTTGTTTTATGTGTTCTTTAGCTTTATGGAAGCAGGTGTTATTAACACTTAGATTTTAATTAAACTGTTTCTAGAATAATCTGTCCCTTAACTATATTTCCTTTTCTTTTTTGGGATTACTAGAAGTGTTTAAACAGTGACAAAGCCACATGTTTGTTGAAAGCACACAATCAATTTTATTGATCAATAGATCTTTTGCCTTTCAGGGGTGAGAGTAGAATAAAATATAGTGATAATATTCCAAGTGTTCTATCAAACAAACAAGGAATTCACATGAATTGAAATATGATTATGCAAAGCGCATTTGTTTTTCAAGTATGACACCACGTTCTGTTCATTTTCTGTTTTCTTTTACAACATCCACCATGTGCTTTGAAAAATATGGTTTCAAATGTAAGAATATAGTTCTGTGGCACTTGAGCAAATGGTCGAAGCTTTAATAACTAACTATACTGAAGATTATCAAAATCAGACAACAGTCCTCTGCATTCATTTGTCTTTTGGTCTCCGTTGCCATTAATTCCATTGTGGAGATATAGATCCAGGCACATATACATGAATGTCATTCACAAATGCTAATCCAGAATGATGTATGTATGTATAGTAAGAGAGAGTGCAAAGATATATAATGACTGATTCTGATTATAGCCTGGATGCACTGTAACATGCCTGGGCATATTAAATTGCTTATTATAAACAACCGCCTTAATAAGTGGCTGTAATGAGCAGCAGAAGGGGGTCATTGAATTTTCAGCACATAAACAAGACAGATACACGGCATGTATAAAGAACTATAATGATTGGTTGGCAATTAGCAGTCAAGTGCATTTGACTAAAAACATTCTACAGTAGAAATAAAAAACGAAATATGTTAGAATCAATTCTGAGATTTCTGTTTTTAATTAAGTGTTCTGTGATATGATGAATAACAAATAAAATAATATCTTAAGGGATTTACTCCTGCTGGTGCATTATATATTTTGACATATAATCATAATGTGATGAAGCTGAAATGCTGATGAAATTCATATATTCTAGCGTCTGAATAAAATTTCAGAGTTGATAAGAGTCCTCATCTTTACTTACCAGCCTAACAAGCATTGAGAAAGCATGAACAAAGATCCTTGAAAATACAGTGCTGGTGGGAAAAAGAGATGACGTGACACATTAGCAACACACAAACCCCAGCAGAACAGCTAGCCTAGGTAGGACCAAGCATAGCAAAGCTACAGTGAGTCAAAGTCTTGGAAAGCAATAGATTGACCCTGGTGGATAAAATCCATAGGCCAACACTATGCAGAACAACTAAGGGATGGAAAGTCCTGCCAGTGTGCACTGCTGATGAAGTATTATAACATGCAGATAGGGTGGCTTTTTCTCATTGAGACCACTTGCAATCCACAGTAGCAATACTTGCTCAGGTGGCACAGTCCTCTATGCTACACTATGGAATTTCTTGCTCAGCAAAAGCTGAAACCACCATCTTGTCTGGAGGTCCAGAGCTGGGAGAAGTTGTTTCTTTAGATTACAACTCTTAAACTGTGGCTGTGACATCTGGGATATTGTATGGATTGTAGTCCAAAAAAGGTAACTTTTCCAAGCGCTGATAGTATCTGACACATTAGATCTAGGATTCCTTGTACATCCTTCTCCAGCAGCATTTCACATAACAAGAAGGAACAAAGGGCCATCCACACAAGAACCCAGGAACAGTGTCAGTTCTTGCAGTGGGATGGAGGAGTTTTCTAGTATTCTCTAGGTTTTTCTTTTTGTTTTTTGGCCCAGTTGAAATGAAGCATGGAGGGTGAGATTCACCTCTAAAATTCGGTTCAAGCATGCTTTAGTCAGTCATCAAATATGTATTTGCAGCCACCATTAGAAGCATGTATTGAAAACCATAAATACTGTAGTACCATCTTTCACTCTAAACCAGTCATAGTTTGCCATGTTTTAAGAGGCAGCTTAATTGAAACTATGTAGAACTTTTTGTATTAGCAGTAAAACAATGGTTCATTTTTAGCATTGCATTGCAAACAACATGAGAACATTTCCCCATATGGGTGGACCCTGCTAAATGACTTCTCCATGGCATGTCATCTCCATGACATACATTGTGGAGTACACAAAGACTGTGTTGGTTTCGCATACAGTGTGATTACATCCAAAAATAAAATATGGAGCTGTCTTATTCACAAGCCTACTTTCACAAAGCCCTGAACCACTTGCCTTATATTAACATCTTTCTGTAATTTTGAGATGTCATATATCCAGCTGACCACTGTAGCAAAATTCTGTGCTTCCTGGAGAAATCTGAAAGTTCTTGGAGCTTTACGCTAATAACAGCTTGACGAGCCCTGAGCCACAGCTTTGCATTTGTCTGGAGTACTGAATCAACAATAATTCATCAGTTTGTTTACTTTTAATCAGGTAAGGAATGCCTTCAGATTACCAAAATTAAACCAAATTGTCTGCGTTTACCCTACATAGTTCCGCTATTTGAGCTTCAAAATGGGCCTGTTCCTGATTAAGGATGTTTGCTTAAGACATGGCATTGTGGGAGGTGAAAATGGCCTGAACCTAATACTGTGCTGATACCTGACCACGAACATTGTACAACTTTCTTCCCTTCCCCTCCCCTCCCCCATGCAGTCCTCCAAGTTCCCAATACCTCTGGAGAGTTTCTCAGGCCTTGTGGAAACAATAATATCCAGTAGAAATATACTGTTGGATTCCGGCAAAAATATGAAGAAGTCATTCCCAACCACTACCAGTTTTAACAACAGAAACAGGACTTCTCAAACATTATTGGGAGGGTGGAAGGCTCTTCCATATATATATTGTACCTATGTAGGTTTCCTGCATGAACAAGAACATGAGAAAAATAAGGGATCTGTTTTATATGGGAAGCCCATGTATATAAGCTTCCCATATAAAACAGATCCCTTATTTTTCTCATGTTCTTGTTCATGCAGGAAACCTACATAGGTACAATCTGAAGAAAGGGCTTTTCAAAGGTCAATAGAAGCCTAGGTCGTAGGGTCCGTCACTAGAACAAGCCAACTCGGGTGTTGCCCCAGGGCCCTAAATATAGAGGGTACATTTCTTCCCCAAGACCTCAGTTGACCTTTCATTATCCTGGTCTAACACCACCGCAAAGAAAGCAATGGAGCAAGGCCCCCAGATGAACTTGCAAGTGGCTCTGGGCAGGCCACATGACCAGTAGAAGACAGAGAAAAGGTGGTCAGAGTGCTAGACTCTACTGAGGCAGTGGAGAGAATATCTACTGTACAAGGGTCTGGTAGACTTGGCATCTGGCCTGAATCTGCAAGTCCAGACAAAGGGCTGGTCTAACCAGATCATGAGTAGACTGGATCTCCCCATGGGACCACATTTCTATCCAGTTCTTGGAAGATGAGGCTTCTGAACTGAACAATACAGAACAACAGCCAATCAATATATATGCTATGCCAAACAATAGCCAGTATCCTATTGGTGATGGTGTGACATGTGCAGCTAATTGTGGCTAATTGGCAAGCTGCTATGGTGCATATTAAAAATGAAGAAATGCCAAAACAAAGTTACAAAAACGTTTTCAATTTGAGGCCCAGAACCTTCTGGGTGAGTCCTGGGCGAATGTTCCGCTTGTGCGCGCACACAAACCCTAGATATCCTATTGAGCTCTGTCCAGAATCTCTTAATGGTTGTGACCTTATGTGTTGACTTCAAAGTATGTACAAGTCCTGTGATTTTGTTTCATACTGACTATTGTTCTTAAATAACTACCCTGTTTCCCTGAAAATAAGACTTAACCTGAAAATAAGCCCTAGTATGATTTCAGGATGCTTGAAATATAAGCCCTACCCCCAAAATAAGCCCCAGTTAAGTGAAACGCCACCCTCCACCATTATGCAGCAACCAGAAGATGATATGACTGTCAAATAAAACATCCCCTGAAAATAAGCCCTAATGAGTTTTTTTGGAGCAAAAATTAATATAAGACGCTGTCTTATTTTTGGGTAAACATGGGAGGAGAAAGTAATTGTGCTGTTTCATTAGAAATGACTGTCTTTATTATACTCTGTGCACACGCGCACACACGCGCACACACATGTTTGAGAAATTCTGCCCCAAATATTTTGGTTCCCAAACAGGATTTTCTCATCACCTTTATCTTTAAGTCAAATAAAATGAATCATCGTGAGCAGGAACATAAGAATTTGACTTCTTCTGGGCCAGACCATTAATCCACTGAGGTGCAGTGTTCTCTACAGATCAGTTGTGTCTCCAAGGTTTTGGAGTAGAGGTTTTGCTGCCCTACATGAAGATACCAGGAGTTGAACTCGGTATTATTTACAAGGAAAGCATGTGCTTTCACCCTGTGCCCAAATAGTTGATGCAAAAAGGAATTCAAATGTAATGTGGGTTGTGAATTACACTGCACATTTTCCTGCACAGACCAGAATGCAGAAATATATACTGCTGAACCCACTTTGGGAATTCTTGTCTTACTGTGACCTGATGACATGATCATTATTTTAGCACTTGATATATAGACCACATGATCACCAGGGGGAAGAAGCAGCAGACGTGGCCTATCACTCTGGCTATGAAAAAGGCTTCTTTTAATGCTTTGAGCTTTGTCGAATCACTACAGGAAGTTACAGCTGGTAGGAAATCATCATTTTTCAAGCAAATCCTTGGTGTTGAGTGGGTAAATCATAATTAAATGTTTAGGAAAAGTCCATAGTAGTGTTTTATGGAAAGCCATAAT